CCCCCAACGTCCTTGCACAATAATACCGAAGAGCTCTGCTCAGGTTACACGTTCACGTTGGACCTCTCGATTGCTCCCCGGGGCTGCGGGGAGGAGAAGAAGACGTCGAAAAGGAGGAGAAGTGAAATGAATGAACAAAAGGGATGATGGAAGGGAGGTCTGCAGCAGCATGGTGGGTTTCCTCGTACGGTGGGGCCTGCAGACCGCTGCACCTGTTGTGGACGCTCACTATAGACGGTGAGCGATATGCATGTGGAGAAGGGGGGGGAGTTCACTGGGGTCTTGGCGGTGATCATGTGTGCCACCTGTATCGTGGCCCCAAACCAGCTGGGGAGAGGTCGGGCCGGTGCACAACTCAAGTGCACTCTTTCAGTATCCATTCCCTCCGTGCACTTGACGACCCCCGCGGCCTCATGTTCACCCTGCACATGGGTGTGCATCTGAGAAGAGTGCACCCACCCTCTTCCTCCTCCTCCTCCCCCCTGTTTTGCCCACCTGCTAAGTCCCACTAGGTAATTGGGTAAGTGTGTAATGAAGTTGGTCATGGGCATCAGACTGGTGTAAATGCGACCCGGGCAGCGGCCCAGTTTGTGAAACAACCGAAGATTTGTTTATGATTTTGAGATTGCTGCAGGGGCAGTGGGGGTGGGTGGGGGTGTGTGTGATCACGTTTAGGTTTGGTTTAAGCTGCAGGGCTGCGACTGAATCGCATCCCTTTAGTTATCACCCACCACTGAAGGCAAAGGTGGTCAGGTTGCTCGTGTCTGTGCGTTGGTTTGATGTTTGCGAAACGCCTCTTGAAAACTTTCAGAAAATAATCACTGCAAGTACATCTACTTTAGATTGGAGTTTGGGGGGATATTCTGTATTTTCCAGGCACATACTTCAATTCTGTACCACAGTCAAGTAACCATAGTGCCCTTAGTTGTTATGAAAAAGCTGTATATATCAAAAATAAATTTTAATTTGCATCATAGCCTATCTGAACGCCTGGAAATTGGCCTCTGTCTCTTTAAGAACCTCCTACCATTTCTGAYACTCCCACTTCAGCACATCTTCACAGCAATGCATTGGGGGAGGGGTGCTCTGTTGGGCAGGAGATTGAGCTCCAGGGAGGAGCTAGGTACAAATAGGCTGTGCTTTGTGCCAGCAAGCGTTTAGGCAGCTCCACAGGAGATTCAGGGATTTCTCAAACTTACATCAATGAGTCCAAGCAACACTCTGGGTAAGTGTTTGTTGAGGGAATGACATTATAACATGATATAAACCTCAAAAAAATTAATCCGGCACAACAGCAC